ATGGCAGTGGGAGGAATGACACTCATGCGTACGCAAACATACATAGACATACGTTCTCGCATAGCAGCCCTCACAAATATAAGCATATTTGAACAATGTGAGCAAGGGGTATATGCGAATCCATGTGTCGTTGCCTGCATACATACACATTTTACACACACACACACACACACACACACATACACACACACACACATGATTATATATATATATATGAAGAAATATATTTTTAAAGTGTGCTATATTTATGGGATAAAGTGCTCAATATCAGAGATAGGGCGTATGTAAATATAAAAGTGAACATTGAAGTCAACACTCAGAGGCGATAGGCACAATTGTCAGGCCGCAAGTGTTTGATTTTTCTCGACTATTTACATATATATATATATATATGTGTGTGTGTGTCAGTGGTGCATTGTGGGTAATCCATTCTGGCGGTTATTTTGGCGGTGTGTAATAATTCTTTTTTTTTCTTTTTTTTCTTCCTTTGTTTCAATATATTTCTTTTTTTAATCACTTCGCCCCAAGCAAGGAAAGAAGGCAAATAAGACGCAGTGTGTGAACGAATATAAGAAAAAGAAAAACATGATTAAGGAGCGAAAAGAATAATAGAATAGAAAATTAAGAAGTTTGATGATAACGATTGATATTGCTTATATTAGTTTTGTAAGATCGAACTTGACGAGTCAGCAGGAAGCTGGAAGAGGGTTCCACAAGCGAGAAATGCCAGAAAAGATATTGATTAACATAGAACTGACAGTTATTTCAAACTTTTATATATTTTGTGAATACATCCTTTTTAAAATGTCCGTTTTAAAATCATAATAAAATGTTTGGACCCCCACAAATTACATGTAGATATACAGGGTGCAACTGATAAATTGTCGTTTAAATCACACAAAAATAAAAAAAATACCACTGACCTCGCATTTTAACAGATATATTTACCAAAATTGCACAAAGATGTCTTGAAGTAATAAAGAAAAAGTAAATTTATTCAATAACATCGCCATTGGCTTCAACCACGGCCTCCAGACGACTTTAGTATCTCCTGCAACTCTTCTGGACGGTCTCATAGTTAAGTCCATGAATGTTAATATAATCCTTGCCTTCAGTTCATCTTTGGTGTTACAAAGAGTTTTGTTGGTCTCTCACTCAAGTCGCTCAGTTAGGTTATATATATATATATATATATATATATATATATATAGGTTATATATATATATATATATATATATATATATATATATATATATATATATATATATATATTCATTTGAAGATTTTGGAATCGGTCTGTATAGGATTAAGAAAAACCTTCTCTCTGCCGGCAGAAAGAATTTATAAAGTCTTTATAGAATCTGTTGGGGATACTTTTATTTTAACTGTCCTCGCTAATTTATTTACACGATTCTTTTCCTTCCCTCGTTACAAGTATATATACTTGTTTGTTATTTTAGTGTGCTTCCCCTCTTTTTGCTCTTCAATATCGTTTATATTCTTTTCGCTAATCCAACGATTGTCTCCTGATGAGATGTTGGCTGAAAGGGCCCTAGAGACTTTTAAAATTAAAATCAATGCATTCCTTGTTTTTAAAACTATATATATATATATATATATATATATATATATATATATATATATATATATATATATATATATATATATATATATATAGTGCGATGGATAAATTGTCGTAAATTACACAAAATGAAAATAACACTGGCATCGCATTTTAACAGATATATTTAACAAAATTACATCTTACATTATATCTTGAAATACTAAAGAGTAAATTTTTTTCAATAAAGTCACCATTGACTTCATCCACGGCCTTCAGACGACTTCGGAATCTCCTGCATCTCTTCTGGACGGTCTCATTTTTTAATTGGTAAATGCTAATCCTTGCCTAAAGTTCGTTTTTGTTGGTCTCTCACTCAACTGCGCCGCACACATAATAATCAAGAGTGTGGCAGTCTCGGAAGTTACGTGTCCAGATGCAAGGGGGTGATATGGCGTGCAAAAATTGTCTGACAGCCATGACGACTGGGTTCTTTTGCTTGTGTTGCATGGTGCAGAATGCTGTTACTAGACACAGGGACTTCCAGCAGCCATCCTCTTGTTCTAGAGCAGCACTACCTCCTCAAGGCACTTGATGTAAGTCTCCGTATGGAGTTCGAGGCCATCACCGACAAACTCGAGTGTTCTTTTCTTGTCACAACGATCAGAGTGAGTTTTCCGAGCTGCCGTAACTTCGTAATCATCATAAGACTCATTCAACTCTTTCTGCATCCTCTACGCTATCCTCAGATTGACACCTCAACACACTGATGAACTTCCGGTGCGAATGCCAAGCAGTATAGCAAGCCGTTTCTAAATTTTTAGGCGGAGTGAATTGCGTGATAGTGGTCTTTTTCTTCCAGACGGGGCCCAACTGACACTATTATATTGTGCAGCGTAAAAAAACAAAATCAAACTACGCGAAATTAAAAATGTAAAATAGCGACAATTTACCAATCGCACCATATATATATATATATATATATATATATATATATATATATATATATATATATTGTATTCATATGGATATATACATATATGTATAATATGTAGGTATATATATATATATATATATATATATATATATATATATATATATATATATATGGTGTATATATATATATATAATTTTGGAACCCCCTACAAATAATAGATGGATATTGCTTGGCTGTGTGTGATTTATCTGCTATAAAAGCCGCCTCAATGGAAAGTTAATGACAAATTACAATTTGTCTTACCGTGTTTCCCCTGTGTTTACAGTAGACATTTATCCCCCGCGAAAATGTCAACTTAGATTAAAATAAACAGTTTTTGTTCTTGACTTAGCCAATCCTTATTTATTTAATTTACGGTGTTCAATGCCTTTCCCTATATCGTATTTTGCCCCATCTTACGCAATTTGCATCTTTTCAACTACAGCACTTCAGGCCATACGTCAAGGATATAAAGAGTTTCTAGCGTTATTTAATTTTGCTCTGCATTCTCCACCCAAAGATTCTTTCACGGCGTCCTTCGCAAAGGCATTCATTGGTAAAAGCCTTGACGATGTTGTGGGTTAAATACTACTAATTTTCGCCATTTTTGTCGGTTGATTTATTTCTTCTCACCATGTTAAGAGGCTTGTAGGATATATTTTTCTTTCCTGTCACTACAGTGCCCTCATAAGAACAGACAAAAAAATGTTATTCGATAAATAATGATAAAATCCCAGTGACACACACCTTTATAAACTTGAATAATACATTCACGTTTGTTGCTTCTTTTTTTTCTTTTTTTTTTTTCTTTCACATTTCAGTTTGCGTAACACTTATCGACGCGGAAAGTGAAATCGACAATCCGAGTTCAAATTCCAGCCGAATCCGTTGCCTTCACTTTCACACTAAATCACTTGGGAAAGGCATGAATATATCTTCTAAACCCTTGCTCAATTAATTGAAGGGTAAACTTTAGCTCTAAGCAGCCCCTCCCCCACGTCTAGATGACGGACTACTCTGATTTCCAAAAGGCAACAGAAAATTCACTTCCTCGCAATATGTTATGCCATTTCGCAGGAAATGAAGAAAAGGAAGATGTGGAGAACCCTAATCGCATGTATCCTGAAAGAATTTGGCATTTTTTAAAATGATATTACAACATTTACACTCTCCAACATTTTAATATATTTCGTCAAGTTCAGTCATGAAAGTTTGTTATTACAATAATTATTCGGACAGTTGTCTCCATCTTTATTGTTTTTATTATATTTTGGCTGATACATCTCCCCACTCCTTATTTTTTTATGCCCATGAATTAAATATTGCTATTATTCGTTTAATTATTTCAAAAACAAATATGACGATACCAATAATTAGTGAAATAATAAAAGTAATTTGTGTTTGAACTTTAGAAAATATTAAGAAACCTGGAGAACACCTCCAAACGAAATGTTGTAACCAAAGGAACAAAAATGAAGATGTGATACAATGGTTCACCTTTCGATTTGGCTTCGAAAAATCCACACAGTCAAATGAACTGTAAATTATTTTATCTGAGCCAGAAGCGACTGAAGTTTAACAACTACAAGTAAAATCGAAATATCGTTGTCCACAAATAGGGAAAAAGAAAATGCCTAAAATAAATAATTAAAACTGTTGCGCAACGACCCATCGACCACACCCAATCATAGGAGAGATGATGATGATGATGATGATGATGATATCTAAATAGGTCCTCATTGAAAAAAGATTATTGGATGTACATGTTTTAATACCCGTTTGTAGGAGAGATTTTGTAAATCGCAGATACAACAATAGTAACGCCTTAGAACAATACTCGGTCAGACACCGCAGATTCCCATATATATATATATATATATATATATATATATATATATATATATATATATATATATATATATATATATATATATATATATATACTTTATATCATCACGTGATCTAATTATTTCAAGATGAGGTCGACTGTGCTTGCTCCCTGGCGATCCGTGTTCAAACCCAAGTGTCAGCAGCGACATTTTATTCCTATATGATAATATGTGAAGAAACAAGAAGCATGATACAAAGAGAGAGAGAGAGAAGGATGGATTCCGCCAGGTTTACTTGCTCAACAAACACCATACATGAATGATTACCTCTCCGATATTCACAACAGATCGTTGCCTAGGATTGATTCGCTGATTTGTTTTTTTACGGCTTATCAACCTTTTAAAGGTTATTTTAAAGCCAGAGTTGTAAGAATTTTTCAGATAATAATCTTAATAATAAGATAATAATTTTAATGACACAAGTTCTACTAATTAGCCCTTAGATGGTGGATTCATATCTCCCCCAAGCGTATTTGCACGTAAGTGAATATAACGATGCCAACAGGAATTGAAACTCTTCCTTCCGATTTCCAATTCCGAGCCATTATCCATTACAACACCAGCACATCTAAGCTCACAGCACCTGGTATCCCCAAGCGGTCAACCATCTAGGTACTGACCAAGCTCGACATTGCTTAACTTCTGTGATCGTACGAGATCTCGTGTTTCAATGCGATATGCCTGTGAGCCTGTTACTCGGAGATTTTTTGCGGATATCCAGACGTCTTTACCTTCAACGAGACGTATGAAGAGAGCTTGTATGCGTCCCAACGAAAACACTCCGTCGTGAGACTGATAATGAATTTGTGTAAATAAATTTTAGCTCTTGCTTGCCCAGGCAGAATATCATTGTCTGACAGACGAGAACTTAGCAGTCATCTTTTGACAGTGAACTTGTGGGTGGATTTGTCTGGTTTGTCAACCGCTGAAACAATCGTGTGAACGCTTCTAATTCAAGTATCGACATTTTTGCCGAAGTCGTCACGATATTTCTGCCATCAGTTGTCGAGTAATTAAGGCCAGCTTTTAGTCCATTTCGTGTAAAGTGAGAAATAATAGTTATTTCGGCTATTAAATATTGTCCGGTGTGAGTTAGTATCAGTTACAGCGTTTTATTAATTGGCCACTTCGGCGCAAATAAGTAAGCAGAGAAAAGTTGTTCAGATCGATTTTTAGACCTAATTAAACAGCGTTCCCACCTCCCGCTATAGTCTTCAAGATTTGTTATTTTCAGAAGGTAATCGTAATATTAGCCGTTTCTCTATAAGAAAACATTTGTCATTCATTGACCAAGTAGCCAGTAATGTTTTCAGTTTAAATTTATAAAATGTTTAACACAATTTCTAAAGTTCTCAAGTCCGATACCTGTTATTGATTTTTTCAGTATTGAGAGGGGTTTCCTTCCTAAACTTTTGTTTGAAGTAGTGTGGAACATCAATATATTGATTATGACATTAATTTCTATTCGAGTTACATGTGCTATCCATTTCAGTTGTTGCTGCTGTTGAAAGTCCTTAAGATGTATTTATGTTTTTGTTAGTTTTGGCTCTTCTAGTATTAATGGGGACTCTTTATTTAGTATTAATGTATTTTCTCTTTGGGGTTTCCTTCCTGAAACCTTTTTTGTCTGAAGTTAGTGTTATGAACTTCAAAAACCTGTCCTTTGATTTTTTTTTGTTCGAGACTTTTTATATTATTGGGGGTTTCTTCCTAACCTTTTTTTTGAAGTTGTCATTATTTTGCTTCGAGTTATGTGCTTGGTAGTTGTTCTTCAAGTGATGTGATTTCCGTTATTTTGTTACAGGTCTTCGTTTGTGCATCTGTACCACAAGTCCACAGTGTTCAAAGAAGGATGATCTTTGCCAAGAAACTCGGGCTTTATTCGCTGGAAACCTTTTACCACCATTGATCTTAAGTAGAGGTTGTTTACTGCTGAACGAGTTTGATGCCATACATGATATCCATATAATTCTCAATCTTTAAGAACATGACTCAAGTTTTCAGAGAAGTCTTTTGGAGTTTTGCGCAGACTTTCGCTATTATGTTCAGTTTCCGACAAATGATACTAAGAAAGGCATGAACGCATTTCTCCTCGCCAGCTTGAGTAAAGTTTGGTCTTTAAGATATGCAATACTTCACGCTACATGTCGAACGTATACCGAATTTCAAACGCTTTAACGCATTAAATTGTAAGAAGACAGAATGCATGGCTGTTAGCAAAAAGAACAACCCAACATGCAAATTAAAAACTGGTGATACCAACATCAATCAAATACAATTGATATATCTGGAAATTGTTTTAACAGAGGACGAAAAGTGGGACACTGAAATCCGAAGACGCATTATCATGTAGAAAGGTGCCTTCCAAAAGCTAAGCAAAGTATTAAGAAATAGAACAATTTCGTTAGAAAGAAAAGCATACTTAACTGTTACATAATATCAGAGCTCTAATATGGCAGTGAATGCTGGACAATCTCCTCACGGATGAAGAAGAGACTTCAAGCAACAGAAAGGTGGTTCTACGGAAGAATGCTGAGAATACCATGGACCGAACATGTGAGCAACGACGAAGTTTGAAAGAAAATGGAAACAAAAAAGACACTTATACTTAACATGAGGAAGAGACAGTTGGGAAAAGAGTGAGAAAAGACAGCTTGGAAAAACCGATACTCACAGGAGAAACAAAAGTAAGAGATCCAAAGGAAAACAACGCATAACCTTCCTATAGAACTTGAGTAAATGAATGGCAGGACAGGATTTAGGAGAGAGGACAAAAAGCCAAACTTATTAAGAGCTACAAAGGACAGTGCGGAGAGCCATGATCACCTATGTCCTGAAGGATCACGGTACAAAGAAGAAGAAGAAGATCACATAAACAGGTAGTTTATGAATAATGAATATTAATAAATACGAAATTATTATCTGCTGAGACAGTTTACATATCTCCATCTATAAAAGGCAGGATGTGTCTGTGTGTGTGTGTGTGTGTGTGTGTGTGTGTGTGTGTGTGTGTGTGTGTGTGTGTGTGTGTGTAACGAATGCACGGACGCAATTTTCGACGGATTTGCACCAAAATTTACATGCACATGCTCCAAGTTAGCGGAAAGGCCAAGACCGACTCCCATCGATAGTGGAAATAATCGATTTTTCATGCTTCTACGGCAGTTTTCATGTAGTTTGCGGCTGTTTTCTACTGGCCAGAGTGAGAGCCTATAGCTAGCTGCCATGAATAGGCAGGAAGATTCTATTGGCCAGCGTGACAGCCAACAGCTGACTGACATGAATATTAACTAGCATGCAAAAAAAAATCGTTAGCTGCATTCGTCACAAGTGGAAAAAATTAAAATCTGCATGGCACTTTACTCCAATTGGCTGATTCGCTTGCTTAAACTCAGCGTTGATTCCGCAGAACTGGGTTGGGTGTGAAAATGTATTTGTTGTTAACATTCTTTTTTCTTTCGATTTTTCCAGTTACGAGTCCTTTTTTAAAGTTGATCATTTTGTGTTCATTTTGTTTAGTTCTTTTTTCGTAACAGATTTAATGTTTAGTATAGAGCTTAGAAAAAATTCGCAGTGTGAGATAGGCAAGAAGTAAGGCATGTAGCAACATCAGCACGGCAAAGGGCACTCCTTTAAAGGCAAGGAAGGGCAAAAATATTTTAAGTGATAGCGATTGCTGTACGATTTTTGAATCAAGCACGGGCAACGCCGGACCATGCTGCTAGTCTTGTAATAAGGATCATGAACCTGGAATCAGGTTAATATATTTCTAACGATCAACTTTTGTATTTATATTATACTAGCTCAAAACCGCCCTATCGGAGGCTCTTGACTGGACTTTGGCTTGTTCAGAAGTTTGATAGTTCCTAAGTCTTTGCATATTCTCAACATTGGAAGCTCTTCTGGCTGCCGTTTGATCTGGGTTTTCAATTGCACGGGTCTTTCCTTTCCTCGTTGCAGCCTTGGCTCTTTTTATTGAAATCTGGTCCTCGGCTGGCGTGGATCTCTTTTTGCGAGGCACATTGCTGCCGTATGCGATAGGCAACAATAAAATACAAAATTCAAAATTGATCGCTGCATTTAAGTATTGCATTAATATTTAAGCTTACCTTTTAAAAGTTTAACACTAGTTCTTCTGCTGTCACTTAATTTAAAGATGGTTTGATGTACGTAGGTCCTTACTTTCCCCACAAACATTTTTTCGCTGGATTTCACAGTTAATTTCAATTATTACCAAATTTATTTCCTAGTTATCATACAAAAAATTTGTCGCAAAAAATCCCGTAAAAATCGCCGAAAACAATCACATTATTGAAAACCTGGGAATCTCAAAATTTCAGGATTTTGGTCCGTATCCGGCCCGGGATGTTTTTAATTTGCTCACGGAGTCGGCCTACTTCCAAAATGGTATATATTGGACTAGGCCTCTTGGAGTAAATCTGAGGTATTAATAGGAGGCGTTAACACTTCTATCTTTATTTTTTTATAGTTATCTCCTGTTAATTTCCCCCTGAAAGTTCTCCACTGTCTTCACCGGGTGTTGAACTCACACTCATTGGGTCCTTTCACTGGATCTAACCAACGCCTTTATCCACTGTGCCATGTGTTATCAAGATATATAGACAGATACTGAAAGGCCGAAACGTTGTAATAAATATGGCGACAAAGATGAGAACAATAGCCCGAATAATGTAAATAATGTACATAATACCTGATCTCAGAAATATAGACAGATACTGAAAGGCCGAAACGTTGTAATAAATATGGCGACAAAGATGAGGACAATAGTCCGAATAATGTAAATAGTGTACATAATACCTCATCTCAGAAATATAGACAGATACTAAAAGGCCGAAACGTTGTAATAAATATGGCGACAAAGATGAGGACAATAGCCCGAATAATGTAAATAGTGTACATAATACCTCATCTCAGAAATAGAGACAATATATTACTTTTTTTTACTGAAACCAAGTAGCGCCTCTGATATGACTTTTGTCTTTACACGTGATCAAAAAGGAGTAGACTATTATTTATGAGATATTGCCAGGTCATAACGGTGGTGGCAACTAAGAGATTAAAGAAAGGATGGATAAGCACATTTATTATATGATTCTGAAGGGGTTCGATTTTGGTTAAAAGCTCTCTTTCATTAATCGATATCAGTCTTTCAGCATTAATCACCATGCCATAACTAGAAAATGGTTCGCATATGTTTTTCAAAATACTTTTAATTGCCCTCTGTCTGCCTCTTTTTCTTTTGCTTAAGGTGGTACCATGTAGAATGGCAGTGGAAAGACTGTTGGCACTTGTGACCTATCCATACCAATTCAAGTTTCTCCCTTTGACGGTAGAAATGGTGATTCTATGAGAGATGTGGAAGAAAGCTGAAAGGATAGAGTAAGGATTGAACTCACTATTCAGTCATAACTGATCTTGCTAATCATGAGACCATGTCGAAGTGCCCAATAGTGATTTACTACGGAGAGCCGAGTTCGAATTCCAGTCGAATCCATTACATTCACTTATGTGCGAATACTCTTGGGAAAGGTATGAATCCTCTTCTTCTCCCCCGCCCCCAAGCAATGGGTAAATAGCAAGATAGACCGTGTCTTATAGCCTTGGGTGGCAACTGGTCTACCGCAGAAAGAAATGGCAACCTACTGCAGGGAAAAAATATGCCTCGTCAGTCATGTATCGAAAGATACATGATCGCCTAAGCGTGTATCACGCTTGGCACATAACTGACTGATTCCGTGTAGTTCGAAATCCAGTCGAATCCATTACAGTCACTTACGTGCTAATATCCTTGGGAAAGGTATGAATCCTTTTCTTCTCCCCCCACCCCAACTATGGGTACATAGCAGAACAGACCTGGTTCTATAGCCTTGGATGACAACTGGTCTACCGCAGGAAGAAACGGCAACCTACTCCTAGAGAAAATCTGCCTCGTCAGTCATGTATCGAAAAATACATAATCGCTTAAGCGTTTATCACATATGGGACATAAGTGACTGACCCTTGGGAAAGTTATGAATCCTTTTCTTCTCCCCCCCCCCCAGCTATGAGTAAATAGCAGGACAGAACGAGTTCTATAGCCTTGGATGGCAACTGCTTTACCGCGGAAAGAAATGGCAACCTACTGCGGGGAAAAAATTTGCCGCGTCTGTCATGTATCGAAATATCGCCTAAGCGTGTATCACGCATGGCACATAACTAACTGACTAAGCGTAGCTTAGACGTGGCACAAGGCTGAATGTATGGGCACTTGTAATTAATCATGCGAAACAAGCTCTGTGACCATTAAATCACGTCGAATTACCCAATCTTGACGGTGTATATGAAGTCTTCCAACGGCCATGTTTCTTGTTTCATGGTGTCTCGCACTGCATCATGGGATGTAGTCTACGTAGATGCTTAAGATGGTCCTGTTGCATCTCATTTGGAATGATTTGAATCTTCGTTACAGTTCGGCTGTAATGTCCAAGGTTCGCAGATTTAGAGAATGATTTATTGTGCACGCAATAGTCTGATATTTGATTTCAGGCACATGTTCTTGTCTTTCCAGATACTAATTCGTCTTGCTGTTGTCTGCGCTGCTCTTGAAAATATTTCTATTCCAGAGCCGTCTTCGCTATTCGCTAATAATCAAACTTGTAACCAGAAGCAGCCAACTGAAAATGTTATGCTTATTTTGATAATTGTCCTATCTTCCAGCCCTATATATATATATATATATATATATATATATATATATATATATAGGGAGAGAGAGAGAGAGAGAGAGAGAGAGAGGGAGAGAAAGAAAGAGTAGGGTGGCAGAGAGATTGCAATGTATTTACTGTCTATATCTATAAGGGCTATATATCCGACTTTGACACTATTCCCCATAAATATAATAAAATTTGATTTATATATATATATATATATATATATATATATATATATATAGATATATAGATAGATAGATAGATAGATAGATATGAAAACACTGAAATAGGTAGATTTGACAAGACTGTGATAGATAAATAGATAGATAGATAGATAGATAGATAGATAGATAGATAGATAGATAGATAGATTATACGTATAATTATTTTGATAATTGTCCTATCTTCCAGCCCAGGGGTAATTTAGAGCGATGCTCTGTGTATGTTTGTGGGGGGTAATATAAAAAGAACGTATCAATGGCAGTTCAACGAAGCTTGTTTGTTTCTTGAAAGTTTAAGGCCAGTTTTCAACACCTAAAATTCATATAAACTCCTATTTCCAGTGAAACATCTGACGTATTACGAACAGCTGACATGACGTCACTCTGATCGGAATTTTTGGAAGGCCTTTCTAGATGAGGTGGAGAAAACATTTTCAGATCTTTAAACACAGTTTTGGGTAAAGGAATATATTTTTTTTTAACCCTTCGTCGACTTTCGGAAAAGCATTGACTAATCGGTTTCCCACGTCTCTCCGGACTGGTGCGTTTTTTGTTTGTTTTTTGTTTTGTTTTATTTCTTTTTCGATTTTTTGAGTTTTTTAAAAAAAATTTCTTCTGTTGCATTAAATGTTAACGCTCAAATAAACAATAAAAAAATATATCCATTGAATTGTTACGTCTGGATCATTTTATGACATTTTTAAGAAACAAGTTTGAATATCAGTGAAACAAACCCAAATACGGAAATAACCTTTATACGCTTGACGCGAAATAGTGACCGCCTTAAGCGGACGGATCGTGGCTCTAATGACATTTCACGCTGCCGTTTTCAAAAAAGAAAACATATTAAAAAGCAGAATTTTAAAAAAAAGTACATTTCGCTAGAACTTCATAGAATCGATTCGTTCTACAACGGGTTTCTTTTATGCCCAAATCTGTTTATCATTAAAGACATTTTTTGCAATGTATTCCTTTCGATTTTACTGCAAAATTTTACATTTTGAAAGTTCTTTACGTCTCTATAACAACAACGACTTCTAATTGATTTTGCGCAGAAGAATGCTGACTTGATTAAATCAAAACCACGTTTCGTATGAAAAATCAAGCGTTCAATCAGGAATATCTGTGACAGTAAGCAAAAGTTGAAATAAAAAAAAAAAAAAAAAAAAACAAGAATATTTAACTAAAATAACACGATGAAAGTTAGAATGATTCTTTTAAGAATTGAAACGCAAGTAATTTAATCTCCAAAAGAGGAAAAATTATCATTTTTGAAATTTTACTTTAAAAATTATATATACTTAAAAATCTAATCAACTTTAATTTTTAGCTTCACCAAGAATAATTGTTCTCGAGAATAAATAAAATAAAAAAAAAGAATCATTTATTCTGTACATTAGAATTTATCTCTGTCCAAATCTAATGACTGGAATTGTACTGCTTCGCTCTCTCTCTCTCTCTCTCTCTCTCTCTCTATATATATATATATATATATATATATATATATATATATATATATACAGACAGTGAGAGAGAGAGATGCATATAATAAATATATATGAATATATACATATATATATGCATATAAGTTTTTGAATATATGCATGTATATATACATGCATATATATATATATATATATATATACATATATATATATATAGAGAGAGAGAGAGAGAGTATGTGTGTGTGTGTGTGTGTGTGTGTGTGTGTGTGTGTGTGTGTGTGTGTGTGTGTGTGAAAGAAAGAGAGAGCGCTAGAGTGGGCAGGGAGAGCTTCATGCTATAATGCAATCATCTTGCCTGCAATCAAGAGTGAAACTGACAATCAGCCTTCAACGTTGATTTCTACGTATTCACTGTCTATATATAAATCGGCTCAGTCTCCGACTTTCAACACTATTACCCTATAAATACAATAACAGATGATAGATAGATAGATAGATAGATAGATAGATAGATAGATAGATAGATAGATAGATAGATAGGATATAAACAGACAGATAAATAAATATATATGAACAGACTGAGATACATAGATATGTATGGACAGAGTAAATAAATAGATAAAGAGTTAGCTGTGAACAGACTTAGACAGGATATATAGATACATATGAAAAGTATATATATATATATATATATATATATATATATATATATATATAAGAAATGGACAAGGTCCGACAATTTATTTTTAAAGACATTTTTATGTTTAACGTTGTTATTTATAATACTGTTTATCATAAACAGAGCATTTGCTTAAATACTTGTATCTATAAATAACAACGTTAAACATAAAAATGTCTTTAATATATATATATAATTTGGAGGATTTATAATCCTATTATATCATCAGTGCACATCCACTACCGAGAAGTGAAACCCGAACAGTTACGATAGCGGGCTCGTTAGTACAGTCGGTATGGCGTTTGCATTCTATCGTAACTGCTTTTTCCGGTAGTGGTAGTGCGCACTGCTGATGAGTCCGAAATATAGGACGAAACGGCCGTACAGCGCTTTCTGCATTCTGTTGAGGTTCCTTCTAGACTCGATGAATTACTTAACTATGATATCTATATATGTATTTTAAATTGTCTGTATTTAGGCAGCATTTTTTAATTGATACATGTTTCATTAAATAATATAAACAAGTGTTTTCTATTCATTTCATGTAAATTCTTTTCATATCGTCTGATAAGTTTAATAACATTATCATTAAACGAAGAATGAAAATCACAATATTGATACATATTTTTTTTATCCTTTCTAAGCTTTCGGCTTACATAAGCCTTTATCAAAGATGACAATTACTGTACAATATATTAAGCAATACACGGACAAGAATGTGATGACAGTCTGTTTCTGTTTACATGGAAGATTTCCAAGCAACGATAAACTCGTGTATATAAGACGCTGAAGCAGCTCATGACGTCACACATGACCACGCGAGAGTGAATTTGAGAAGTATAAACCAATGGCTTCTGTTACCAGTTATAGACATTTAAGAATATTTGTGGAGATTTCATAGTTTATTTTGTTTAGGTTGGGTTTCAACTATTTTATGTATATAGCTTCAAGAATTTTTAGTTTTTGTTTATTGTTTTCATGTTGCCCGTGTATCAATATATATATATATATATATATATATATATATATATATATATATATATATATATAGTAGTTTCAGTCAGGCACCATCTGTGAGAAGAAAAAAAAAACTATGAGACAATTCACTACGCTAGAAATTTGAAACTGACATGCTGTACTGCTTGGCATTCGAATCGGAAACTCCAATACGAAGATTTCAGAGTGCTGGGGTATCAATCTGTGGACAGTGCAGTGGAAGAGTTGGATGAGGCTAATGGTGATTACGAAGGTCTTTGGAGTGAACACTTGTGATGGTGACATTATGCCTCAATTCATCTTCCCAAGTGTCTTCAGGAGGTAGTTCTAACATAGGTCAAGAGGATGGCTGCTGGCAACAGGACTCTGCACCATGCTACACTTGGACATTAGAGAATTTCTGCGACCACACAACACCTTACATCTGATCACCTAACTCCACAGACAGCAACCCCCAATTGATTATTATGTGTGGGGCGGTGTTGAACGAGAGACCAAGAAAATTCCTTGTAGCACCAAAGATGAACTGAAGACAATGATTATGGCAGCATTCACCAACTTAAAAAAAAGAGAGTGTCTAAAAAAGATGCAACAGATTCTGAAGTCGTGATGAGTTTATTGAATAAATTTACTCTTTTGTATTTCAAGATATTTCTGTGTAATGTTTGGTAAATATAACTGTTAAAATGACATGTCAGTGTTATTTTCATTTTACGTAATTTAGACAATTTATCAATCGCACCCTGTATAAATAAATAAAATATATATATATATATATATATATATATATATATATATATATATAGGGAGAGAGAGGAGGAGGGGGCAGGAGATCTTCATCTTATAATGTAATCTTCTTGGCTGCAATCAAGCGTGAAACCGACACTCAGCTCAATGTTGATTCCTATGTATTCACTGTCTGTATAGAAATCTGTTCTGTCTCCGACTTTGAACATTCTTACTCTATGAATACAATACCATTGATTCACTCCGACACCCCAACTCCAGTGATTCGAAGTCAAGGTCATGCCCGCATGCTAACAGATAGATAGATAGATAGATAGATAGATAGATAGATAGATAGATAGATAGATAGATAGATAGATAGATAGATAGATAATGAAATGACTGAGATCGGTCGATATGAAACGACTGAGATAGATAGATAGATAGATAGATAGATAGATAGATAGATAATGAAATGACTGAGATCGGTCGATATGAAAAGACTACGATAGATAGATAGATAGATAGATAGATAGATAGATAGATAGATAGATAGTGGATAGATAGATGAAGATGAGATGAGATAGATAGATAGATAGATGGAAAAAGATAGATAGATAGATAGATAGATAGATAGATAGATAGATAGATAATGAAATGACTGAGATCGGTCGATATGAAAGATAGATAGATAGATAGATAGATAGATAGATAGATAGATAGATAGATAGGAAAACAGTGGCATAGATAGATAGATAGATAGATAGATAGATAGATAGATAGATAGGAAAGCAGTGGCATAGATAGATAGATAGATAGATAGATAGATAGATAGATAGATAGATAGATGAACAGACTGAGATACATAGATATGTATGGACAGAGTAACATAAATAGATAAAGTGTTAGCTGTGAACAGACTTAGACAGGATATATAGATACATGAAAATATATATATATATATATATATATATATATATATATATATATATATATATATATATATATATATATATATATATATATATATATATATATATATTAAGAAATGGACAAGGTCCGACAATTTATTTATTAAAGACATTTTTATGTTTAACGTTGTTATTTATAGATACAAGTATTTAAGCAAATGCTCTGTTTATGATAAATAAGAATAGAATATTGAAGTTTATAAACAGTAAATTCGACCTTGTCTACCGTAAGGTTCTTTGTGGCCGAGACGGTTAAGGCACGTCAGCGTATATGACTGTTCCGTATAGGATGCAGGTTCGAATCCTGTCAAAGAACGAATATTTTCTATGAAAATTTCTCGGACATTCAGGCCGGTAAATGTTATTTAATACTGTTTATCATAAACAGAGCATTTGCTTAAATAGATAGATAGATAATGAAATGACTCAGATCGGTCGATATGAAACGACTGCGAGAGATAGATAGATAGATAATGAAATGACAGAGATCGGTCGATATGAAACGACTGCGATAGATAGATAGATAGATAGATAATGAAATGACTGAGATCGGTCGATATGAAAAGACTACGATAGATAGATAGATAGATATGAAAAGACTCAGATAGGTAGACAGGTCTTGCAAATACCCCATATCTATCACCATTTAAAGCGTACTTTCCCCACAAGAAAGCCTTTAATAATTACCACGTGCCTGATACCTTAATGTCGATTTCCTACTACTTGACTAATCCCGAAACCCGCTAGTTCAATGCACTCGCCCTTTGATGAAATCGCAATGAAATATGATTATAAATTTTTAAATTTTAATTAAAAGTCAAAATAATGTTTAAATTTTAAAACATTCCTTTTAACACACTCTTCCACTGATATGCCAAGAATTAAATATATACGACTGAAAAAGATTGAATTATGATTACATCTTAAAATCATTATATGTCAATCATTATATGAATATTATTATATTTTTCCGCTATATTTTTGTCAAATTATAGTTGTGTGATATAGGTCGATGCGTGTTATATGAAGAAAAATACTAATTGAAGAAAAGTATTTACAGGGTTTTACCAGGTGCACTCTAACCCACTCTTTACTTCATCGTCTATCGTGATGAGACACTTTCTTAAATATATATGGTGATATGACACAGGATCATGGAAAATTGAATTCATGCCTTTCTTAAGGTATTGCTAAAAAAAAACACAAGATGCAATTAAAAATCGTCGTTTTCTCAGTTATATTTTCCCCGTTGAAAACTATTACAATATCTTTAAATTGTGACGCACAGGGAAAAGTGGAATCATGCCTTTTGTAATAGTAAACGCTTACGGTCATATCACGTTGAAACACTAGTCATCTTCAGATCATGCAAGTTAAGCAATGTCGTGGCTGGCCGGTACCAAGACGGGTGACCGCTTGGGAATACTAGGTGGTGAGGGTGGTGTAATGGAAAACGGTTCAGAATGAGAAATGTGAGAGCCGAGTTCGAATTCCAGTCGGGTTCATTATATTCACTAACGCTCAGACACTCTTGGGGAAGCTAGGAATCAACTTCTTCCCGACAGCTATGGGTTAATTAGTAATATTAGTACCAGTAAATCATTATTATATCGAAAAATTTCTTACAATCTAAAAATATTTTCTGGATTTAAATAACCTGTAAACGCTGATATACCGTAAAAAACAAATCAATCAGTCTTAAAAGTAAAGGATGCTTCATTAGGACGGATCAAAATCAGCAGTAAATAAATCAGTGTTATTGGTGAAAATTTATTTATTTCTCTATTTGATCATGTTATTTAAGTCAGGGCAATTATGTGTGAAAAATAATATTGCCCAAATGTCCGCCAAGGCTTCGGCGACACACATCCAATCGATGGTCAAAATTTTTGAAGACGTCTCTGCATAGTTGCTCCTCGATCTCACCAATATACCTTATTACCTCATCCTTCAGCTGTTGAATTGTTGTTGGCTTGTTGGCATAGACCTTACTTTTGAGGTGACCCCAAAAGAAAAAATCTAAAGGCGTCAAGTCACACGATCGTGGTGGCCAATTGACTTCGCTTTTTCTTTGAGATTTAACAACTTAAGTCTTTGGCAATTTCAACCAGGAAAAGATTAACAATCAAACAACGTGTTAAAGTTATCGAAGCCTATTACGAAAATGGACGTTCAAACAGAATTCTACTGTCTCACTCCTGCATGCCGCAACATTGATGTATATGTCAAAAGTGACATTGCTTTACATATTATTTCTAACAATTTCAAAAACAATTTCCTTGTCAAAAATGATCTCCCCTTTATGCGAATCTTTATCTGAATGATGATATTACTTTGGATTTAAGATATTTTGCAAGGCCCTGACTTTAGAAAAATAACATCAATAGTTAAAGAGAAGCTGCTATAGGCGGAGGTATTAATATCAGTGAACAACGTATAGAGTCTCTGTCCAGCTGAGATCAATAATGGAGCTGTTGCATGGAAGAGAATGATGAGTATTTACTGAAACACCGAATGGTGAGAACCAAAACGAGGCTAGAGGGAAAACTACGATGGCCCATACATCCCACATTCAATAATTCTAATCAATAAAATAATAAAAAAAATTAATTACTTATTTAACAAGAAAAAAGTAAAAAGTAAAAAAAAAAGTGGAAAGAAAGAAATTCATTTAAAACAAAGCAACAAGAAATAATGGTGTCATTATGATTATGAGTTCAATCCCTGGGAAGGGTAGTAAAAACTTAGATGCAGTTGAAACAGGACTACCAATAACTGAGCAGTATCGAAAACTAATAACTAATATAACTACCAAATACAAACATGACGCGATATCTAATAGACGAAGAGAGCGGAACAAGAAAAATCTACCCCATAAATAAAAGGTTCCTTTTGAAATACCCTGAAAGTTACTCGGATCAGCAGGCAACTGAAGAAAGCGGGAATGTCTGAAATGTTAAGATAGCAACAAATATGAAGACGCCCGAGTGTAAAATGATGTAAAAATGATAAATTCTAACAAATAAGCAAAGATTGAATAAGGAAATATACGTGTTTGTCGCTTTTATACATTTTGGATGAAGATACATGTGAGAATTGTTTCTTCACGAGCCTTGCCATACATTTAGCACAGTTTTATTATTTTAATATTTTCGACGTAGTTTTTGATATAGAAACAGTCACAAAATGGCGGTACCGATAACAAAAAAAAATTAAACCCCAAAACAACAAAATGCTTTCTTAACGAAATTTTTTTCGCATTTACTATTTGTGTTTCTAGGAATCAAATCTTCATCTACAATAACTGTAATCCGACCTTCTTTAAATATGATGATAATTCGACCAAAACGTCTGTCTCCTTTTACCATCTTTTTATAAAACCGTTCTACATCTGCAAGTCCTATAGTCGGACCTTCCTTTGACACAACCATCATTTAATCAAAACGTTTTAAACTCAGGTAAGATTCTTGTGACTATTGAATATTTCTACATGCACAAGTAATCCGATCTTCTTGACTCTAACCATCATTTAATCAAAATATTTTATCGCAATTTACTATTTTCTTGTGTTTCTATTAATCAATTGTACATGTTTTCTCACCTGACAATCTTTCATGTGGCCATGATTTGAACAAGATGTTCTATTTATTAATGTTGGGGTATTTCGGTCAATCCTTATAAATATATATATATATATGTGTATATATATATATATATATATATATATATATATATATATATATATATATATATATTTTACAAATTTTATGTTCATACGTACTTTTTTATAAAGATATATGTATATATATATGTATATATATACATGTATATATATATGTATATATACATACACACACACATACACACAGACATACACACAGACACACACACACACACACACACACATATATATATATATGTGTGTGTGTGTGTGTGTGTGTGTGTGTGAAGCCAAGAAAATAGACACAAAATTAAAAATTGGTGATAGAATTTAGAAATTCCAATAATTCCATTCAAATAATGTTGGTGTATTTCTATCAATCCTTATATATATATATATATATATATATATATATATATATATATATTTATACGTTCTTTTTATAGATATATATATATATATATGTATATATAGACATGTATATATATATATACACACACACACACACATATATATATATATATATATATATATATATATATATATATAAGTGCGCAGGTATGCAGAAAATAGAAAAAGAACACGTTGGGTGCATAATCCGGAGTTCCTTAGTATTTTTGTTTTTATTTTAAGAAGACAGTGCTCCATACAGAAGTATAGATTATATTATAATATTTTTTGTTTAAAAATATGATTCTAGAATTTAGAAATTCCAATAATTCCATTAAAATAATGTTGGTGTATTTCTATCAATCCTTATATATATATATATATATATATATATATATATATATATATATATATATATACTAGCAACATGGCCTGGCGTTGCCCGTGCTTGATTAAAAATCAGCAATCGCTATCACTTGACTTAAAATATTTAATTCCACAAGTACCATGCATTCCTCAAAGTTAAAGGACACAAATAAAATTTCCTGAACAACACACAATAGTGATTACTCAACTCAAATAAATATAATATCGGTAAAATCGGCAAAAACATCCTTGAAAAAAACACGCAAATACACGAATGATGCTCCAGGAATTAACCATTAAAACAGAATAATCCATTAAACGATTTAAGAATATAAAGAGGAAGAAAGAATTTACGTTCATCCAATTCGATATCTGTGGCTTTTACCCGTCAATCACAGAGAATCTGCTAATGTCTGACATCGATTTAGCAAAAAATTACTGCCCAATTAGCGATCACGAAATCAAACTAATAAAGCAGACACAAAAACCTATAGTATTCCATAATGGTTACTTGTGGACTAAAAAAAACACATAATTTAGCATTGCTATGGCACCATATGATTCTGCGATTGCATGCGAAATAGTTGGAATTTTGTTATTGCAGCGATTAAGATTTATACTTGACATATATAGACCGATTGAGAAAGGAACTGATAAAAATTTTCAAATATCACAAGCTAAATATTAGCACTACCACAAATGTTAAAGTGATGAACTTTCTCTATGTGACCTTGGGCTTAAATACTATTTAGTATAAACAATATAACAAAGATCTATATAACCATAGAAACGTCAGTAAAGAATCAATCCAACCTTATAGCATTCATAATTTACATAAACTAGTTTAACTTAGATTATCTACTAAGTCCATCAATAATGAAATATTTGAAAATAATAAAATTAAATATAAAAAAAGCTTTAGAACTAAGCATCGATAAAGTAAATTTAGAGTATTTTGAAAGAAAAAATAATAAAAAAATAAACAGAAACACGGTAAGCGTAATATAATATGATTTAACCCACCTTTTAATCATAATGTCCAAACAAATATTAGATGATTTTTCCAAAATTTAATTCATAAACACTTTAATCATTCACCAATACTAAAAAAGATTTTTGTAACAAAAATAGTGTTAAGATCAGCTATAGCTGCATTAATAACATGATAATAGTGTATACCGAGCTAGCATAGTTTGTGGTAACGATATCAAATTTTA